TATTATTATTATTATTATTATTATTATTATTATTATTATTATTATTATTATTATTATTATTATTATTATTATTATTATTATTATTATTATTATTATTATTATTATTATTATTATTATTATTATTATTATTATTATTATTATTATTATTATTATTATTATTATTATTATTATTTTTTATTAAATTTTGTTTGTTTTATTCATGTTTAGCTGTTTATATGAATTATTGCTTTCATAGTACGTTTACAATTTCGAGAGAGAAAAGTCACCACGGACAATAACATGTAGTTTTGTCTCATATTGTCCAATAAAATGGTAGTGAGTGATCGCGGTCGTGCGTCACGTTTGTTGAGACAGCGAAATAGTTGGTTTAATTGTTGTAGTTATAGTTTAAATATCAAAAAGAAGACTAATGATTTTAAGATACTAGTTTGTTAAGAAAACAATTTTGTAAGATAATTTATATTGAATCATGTCTCAAATTTAAGGGTTTTGAGAGAGTTGGGAAATAGTAATAGTAGAAGTACTAATAATATGGTTTTAGGTTCTGCGTCTTCTAGTATTATCAATTATGAATTAAATCAAGATAATTTTAAAACTATGAATTATTGATTCAGGAAATAGAGAGTCGATAGTTAGTTGGTCTATGCCAGAAATTAAATTAAAGGAAATGTGAGATATTGGAATCGAATTCTAGTTGGTTGAATGTAGCTTCTTAGTTTCGAAAGTTCGACAAAGTTTAGCATGTTGTCGAAGATTGCTCACATGCTGGTGTCAAAATTTTATATGTTGTAGTCGAAGAAGGGTCAAGCATGCAGTGGTCGAAGAATGTTAGGATTGTTAGCATCGAATTGGGCTTGTTTGTTATGTCTAATTGTTTAAGTTAGTTTGTACCCTAAGTTAGCTTGTAATGGGTATTTGTGAAAAAACTCATTAGTTTAGCATGTTAGATTTGTTATAAATAGTATACTAGTCTCTCATCATTGCATACTGCAAATCCTAATTTAGAGTGAAAGGGTTATTTGTTATTCTTGAGTACTTGTAATCTGGTTTGAAGAGAAAGTAAAGAATAGCAGTTAATAATCAATTATTTGTGTTCTTCTTGTTTTTCCATCTTTTCAACCCTAATTGTTTCTTGATGATAAAGAAACAAGTTTATACTTTATTTCAAGATATCGTTTTTCACGACAAATTGGTGCAGTGATCGTGGATAAGATACCTTCAACAAAGTATGATATTGAAAAGTTCACCGGAGTGAACGATTTCGGTCTGTGGCGCTTGAAGATGAAAGCCCTACTAGTTCATCATTGTTGTTTGAAAGCGTTTGAAGGAAGAAGCAGCCATGAACGTTGCGTTAACAACAGCTGAGAAGACAGCGATGACAGAGAAGGCCCACAACGCAATCTTATTGAGACTTGGTGAAGGTTCTTCGACAGGTATCAAAGGAGACAACGATGACAGGGTTAAGGGTGAAACTTAAAAGTTTGTACATGACTAAATCGCTGGTAAATCGACTCTACATGAAACAAGCTTTGTATTCATTTAAGATGATTGAAGATAAAGTGTTAGCTGAGCAGTTGGATATGTTTAATAAGCTGATTCTTGATCTTGAAAATATTGATGTGAAGATCGATGATGAAGATCAAGCATTGTTGTTGTTGTGTGCTTTGCCCAAAACACATGCTCACTTTAAAGAAACTCTCTTGTATGGAAGGGAGTCTCTGATCTTTGAAGAAGTTTAATCAGCCTTGTATTCCAAGGACTTGAACGAACGAAAGGAGCATAAACCTTCAATAATTGGTGAAGGTTTGGCCGTTAAAGGAAAATTCTTACGAAAGGATGTTAATTTCGATAAGAAGAGTGATGCTACTGCAGTGCATCGCTCAAAGCATCATCGAGCAAGGGTGGAGGTGAAGCACGCATCGCCACGTGATAGAGGTATGTCGTCGGGCGATGGTATCCAGATTTGATTGGTTGTGTAGGATTTTCTTAAAAGAGTTATAACTTGAGTTTTAGAACTTGAATCGAGGGCGCTGTTTGAAGCATTGGATAGTTAACGCAATAAATTTTAGTTTGATGGAATAAAAGGATATAAAAGAAGTATTTTTCCAAATACCTAAGCTAGGATGAAGTTATGTTCCCCGTGTCGAATTACCATGATACTTTCTTTAATTAAGATGAAGTGATGATATTATGTGATGTTTGTTTAATAATGACGATAATAAGATGACGTGTGTGTATTTAATATGATATAATAATATTATGATGAAATCATGAATGATGATGCGTCTTGACTAGTCGTGGTCGTTTTTATTATATTGTTGCACATCATACATTCATGTCATAATTTAGGACTTCGATCTAGTGAAGATGATAGGACAATTGTCCAATGAAGGTATTAATCCCATAGTGTAGATTGAGTGCAAAATTTTGAAGTGCTCTGGTTCCAAGCAGGAATTGATCCTATTGGTGGGGATCTTTGGAGATAACGATGACTGAATCATCAGTGATGTTTTGGTACCACATGCATGAGTCTACGATGATTCATTTCATTTTAAGTGACATTTCATAATGATGTGATTAAACGATGTTTATCGATAAATATTGCTTTGATAATATGTTGTCATGATTTGATGATGTTGGGAAGGTGTGAGTATAACATGAGGTTCTTGCGATGTTTGGTGCCTTGCCTATATGCATGTCTTCTATATTTATTCCTTATGTCTTTTATAATGATTTCTATTTACTCACCCTTTCTGTTTGAATGTTTCCTCCACGTGGGTAACGCGCAGGTGATCGAGAGTAGTCCGTATAAGCATTAGAGGATAGATTTGGAGTGTGTTTATTTTCTTTTGTTAAATAAAGGGAGCCTTAATCTGATATTTAACATTGAGTTTGGGATCGTTTGGTTGTGAACCTTGCATTTTTTTTTTATCTTGTGATTTGGTGTTTCTATCATGACTTTTTCCATGCTTTAGGTTATGATATTATAAACCGTAAGTGTGAAGATGTTATTAACCTTTGAACTACCTTTCATGGTATTGAGATTATTTTATGAAGAGATTTAAGACTCATTAGATCTGTTGCGAAGTTCAAAATGAATTATTTGTGATTCTAGAGATGATATCTAAAGTGTTTTCTTTGCAACCTGTGTTACGGAGCAGGATTAATCGTTATTTGATTTTTTATGAAGATGTGATGCCCTTCTGTGGCTTTTGTTTGATTTTATATTTTCATGAAATTATGCACGAAATATATGTGGGTTACAAGGGTGTTACATTAGTGGTATCAGAGCAGGTCGGTCGGTCCGGCCAGATTATTGAGTTTGTAGTGTGTGACAATGGAATACTGTCGAGATAGTTCTAACCATTGCAATTGTTATTGATGTGAAATAGAGAATGGCTGGAAGGAATGATACTGCACTTGATGTTGCTTTACATGTTATTGCTCAGGCTATGCAACATCATTCTAATGATGGATCCCGTGTTTTGGAGACGTTTCAGAGGAATCATCCGCATGTTTTCAAAGGTAGGTTCGATCCTGATGGAGTACAACTTTTGCTCAAGGATATTGAGAGAATCTTTCAAATCATGGATTGCTCAGAGGCGCAGAAGGTGCAGTTTGGTACACATCAACTGGCTGAGGAAGCTGATGACTGGTGGGTCGGAACTCGTTAGAGACCGACAATTCTCATTGAAGTTATTAATTGGGTTGTGTTCAGAAGGGTGTTTCTGAGGAATTATTTTCCTGAACATGTGTGCGGGAAGAAAGAGATTGAGTTTCTAGAGTTGAAATAAGGAATTTTGACTGTGGCTGAGTATGCTTCAAGGTTTGTGGAACTGGAGAAGTTTTGTCCATATTACAGTAAGGAAATGGCTAAGTTCTCAAAGTGTGTCAAGTTTAAGAATGGTTTATGTCCAAAGATCAAGCAGACGATTGAGTATCAGTAGATATGTGTGTTTTCAGAATTGGTGAATAGTTGTAGAATCTATGAAGAGGATAACAAAGCTCATTCAGCTCACTACAAGAGGTTGAATAAGAAAAGAGGAAAGCAATATCAAGATTGTAAGAAGCCTTATGATGCCTCAGCTAATAAAGAGAAACAGAAGGCTTATGATGGAAAGAAGACAAGTGGGGGAGGGGCTCCCACTTTTATCAAGTTCTATAGGTGTGGTGAACAAGATCATCGATCTAACGAATGTGAGAATAAGGTGTTGAGGTGTTACATATGTGGTAAGTCCGGTCATCCTGCTTTTGAATGCAAGAGCGATGGTCCGACTTGTTTCAATTATGGAGAGAAGGGTCATATCAGTACCTAATCTCAGAAACCAAGAAAGGATGCTACTATCCAGACCAATGGTAGAGTGTTCGCTCTGAGTGGGTTAGAGGATTCTAAGAAGGACAAATTGATTCGAGGTACTTGCTTTATTAATGATGTTGAATTGGTTGCTATTATTGATACTGGTTCTACTCATTCATTTATTTTATTTGAATGTGCTACTAAGTTAGAATTGATTGTCAAATATGAATGGTAGTATGGAAATAGATACTCTTGTTAGTGGTTCTGTTACTACTACTTACGTTTGTTTGAAGTGTTCTTTGACTATTTATGGCAAGATTTTTATGATGTATTTGGTGTGTCTTCCCTTACACCAAACTGATGTTATCCTTGAGATGAACTGGTTGGAGTTCAACTATGTTCATATCAATTGTTATAATAAGACTTTGAGGTTCCCTAAGTTTGGTGATAATGGAGAATTCATGTTGTTCGCCGCTAGGCAAGTGAATGAGCTTTTAGAAGATGAAGCCTTGATGTCTGCATGTTTTCATTGTTGCAAGTTGATGGAAAAGATGCTAATATGGAATTACCAGTTGTCTGCGAATTCCCAGAGGTGTTTCAAGA